ACGATGTGGGATGGTAATAGAGATTTTTTTTTTTGCGACTATGTATAGAAATCAAGACAGACGCTGTATATAAATAAGGCGGACGTTGGAGTGAAGAAGCAAAGTAGATAGACTGAAGCAGGTGCTAAACCCAATTTCAATGAATAAAAAACGTCTCTCCGCCTCGGCACCTCCATAAAAAAAAACCTTCACCTGACCGGCTCTCCAGAGGCCCCAGACGTAGGTATACGATTGCCAGGTATTATGCTATTCGTATACTGCGATGGCGCAAGACAGGCAATTGCCGGCAGCGGGTATCGGGGGCCGATAGCAATAGCGCTCGGGCGGGTCGACTCCGTCAAGGAAGGTGGGTCGACGGAAATAGGTACCTATGTACTTCGTACCTACCCGTAAGTATTCCGTACACTACGTAAATGCATCTGGAGGCTCGAGAACTTTGCGCCGGCGAATCCCACCAGTCGAAAAATTCGCATTGAAGCGCGGTGATCACGCAATGTTCCACTATTCTTGATCCGGCTAGTGCGGGATACAGAGGAGGGCGGGAAGAATGGACCGTTGCCTGTTTAGGACTAGGTAGTTTTACGGATCCATACGTCATGATTATAAAGCAGTTACGGATTGTTGGATATTTACGTCCGTAAGTACCTAGGTACCTAAGGTAATCTGGTAGGTAAGCAGAACTCGCCGACGGTGCCGGCTGCGACAATGAGGCTCAACAGAACATAAACAATAACAATTCTTCGACCATCTACCTATCGGTAGCTAGCTACTACCTACCTACGGATCCGTATTGTACCTACCATCGGATGTCCTAGGTCCTCGGTACTCCACTAGCACTAGGTACTCGGCACTGGACCAGGAATCGGTACGGACGTACTGGTCTACCTACTACCTACTATCTAGGTAGGTGCCGCGCCTACTCGGATCGGCGTAGGTTACCCGTATAGATACCGACCTATCTTTCCACTTCTACGGATTACGCTAGGTCTGTAATTCGTACAGGATGTTCGATCAATGTGACTGATCGAGGAGCAGAATCATTACGTTATCTAGGTATCTGCTTCATTGAGAATAGGTATCAGAGATCTTCGTCTAATGAAGGATTGATCTTGCTGCCAAGCCAGTCATATCCTCGGCCATTCGCCTACTTTTTATAGCCTGCTGAGGACGAGTCGCTGGCGACTAGGTAATATGGCTGGTCGAGCAGTACGGCTCCGTAAGGTCAAGACGTTGACTCGTTCTCCTTCGGGATTCTAGAAGCTCTTCGAGAAGGCGGTGAGTCAACAACTAATCTAGACGGCTTGGTGGTCTAGCGGTATGATTCTCGCTTAGGGTTCACCCGAAAGCAAAGTTGCGAGAGGTCCCGGGTTCAATCCCCGGCCAAGCCCCATCTGTAATCGACGATGATGAGTCTAGGTAGTTCTCTGGACGTCTTAGTTCGACTCGTTTTTTTTTCGCCACACCTAATCCGCACTTCTTACCTACCTAAGGCTACCTTACGTACTGTACCTACTTATCTATTTTTCACGCCTGCCTTACCTATATCATCGCGATCGAGTTAGGTAGCGGTAAAGATAGGTACCAACGTGCTCCCGCTCGTCACTCTAATGAAGACCTGCACTAGGGTAGATAGACGAGGGAGCCGTATTTACCGACCCCGTAGGGCGCATATGCACGAAGTACCCCTAGCTCCGCGATCAAAGTTGGGCCCTACTACGATCCTGGACCCTCAGACGACTACCTAGGTAGGTACATCGGCCTCGCACCCCGGCATCCCCAGCTTTACCCATGTACCTACACTAGGTACGTAGTCGGGGACCAGCGTGGTTCAGTCTTTGTCTTTGGATACCCCAGTCTGTCTGAGGCAGAGGATGGCAACGGCGTCCGACGTTGATGGTAGGTTAGATGGATCATTTCGGATACTGAAAGCGCATTGCCACAATATACCAGTATCTAATGATAAGTCACTACACCGAAGCGGCCGTAATTCGATCATTTTTGGAAGCTACTTTTTCAGATTTCGATAATAAAGTAACTGAACATAAGAGTCTTACAACTCACCATGTTCCTCGGTATGACTCCAAAGCATCGTGTAGCTTACCTAGCACTCCACCATGCCACATGCGAATCTCCTCCCACTCCGCTACCGTTTGACTCAAGAACATCAACCAGCCACCAATAATGATATCTGCATAATCAGCCTCAGCGCCTCCTATGAACGGACCATCGGAATACTTGAAGTACTTCGCAACTTCTGCTAACGCGACCTTGTACGTATCCAAGACCTTCCTTCTCTCCTCACCGCGTACGGTGAGCTCATTCCATGATTTCACGCCATATCGTCTGCAGAGCTCAGCCTTGGACGCCTCCTCTGTTTTTGGATTGAACGGCTGGCCGTCAGAGAACAGGATCCCGCACGTGGTGAAGATCGAGTCAACATGGGTGTTAAACGCGGCGTATACACCGATTGAATGGCGAAACAATGAAGGACCATCGGGATATTTCTTATCTAAGTAGACGGCGATATCGAACGAATCTCCAACCACCGCGTTGGTGGAGCCGTCTTTGATGACTGGAAGCGTATAGAACGGTTCTCCGTTGCTGAAGAAGCGCACCGGGCCTAAGCCAAGACTTTTGCGAGTTGATGTTACGTTGGGCAGCTCAACCCATTCAGTGAAAAAGTTCGCGCGTTTGAAGTTCAATGCGTACCGAACTTTCCACGGGTTTGGTGCGTATGGGCGAACAGGGGGTCCGGAAGCAATGTCGTAAAAGACGAGCGGGTCTGATGATGATGACGTAGACGCCATTGTGTTGGGACGAGGTATGGTGAGTATGTTGGAGGATTGAATCATACAATGATTGAGTGCGAAGTGAGCGTACTTTTTACTGACGTTTCAACTCAGATGTCGTCGCAAGAACCTCGATTGTCTCCTGGTCCTGCCCTGGATTTATACGCTGTCTTGCAGACGTTTTACTGTTATGCTTATGGTGGTTGTAGTGGATGACTAGACGCCATGTCAGACATGCAGGGTCCCAAGCGAGCCATCGACTTTGACTACCTAGGTAGGTATGCGACTCTTAGGAACTGGTGAATCCTGATTGATCATCAACTCTGATATCCCCATTACTTTCTGACTGACCTGCTTAATAATAGTTTTGATTTTGCTCATTCATCCGTATTATTCGGTTGACGCCCATACATACCTTGGTCATCATAAATGCAGCAAGCTACCAATAAGAGACCCAGGATCTTATTTCGTCCCAACCAAGGGTGCGAGAACGAACCTGTAACCTACAAAGTCACGTGTATGACGCTCATTTCGATTCAAATTGAATAAGGATTTGGCAACAATGCCACCAACAGCCATCTCCATGCATCCTGCATTCACCAGTAGGATGATGATGCAAAAAGAAAAATTATCAACACTTTACATACGTCCCATGTATGTCTTCTCTTGAGTGTTCAGACTCCAGACCTGTTCTATGGTATGAATTCGTGTCGCACTATGGGTTCACGTAGAGTCATTCTCCCTTCCCTCATTCTCAATCAGTGAGTTTGATACATATTGGTGGATAGACTGGCCAAATTGTTGCCCGTTACATAAACAGGCTTCGTCACTGATTAAAGGATAGTGCTTTGATACGGGCTAGGATGATTGTATGCATTTAGATTGTATGCACTTACCATAATACGCCTCCGTGTGTCTTCTACACTAGTGTGTAGATGACTTCTCGGATGTTTCTGGGGGATATCTAAAGCACGGTCTGTTTCGCAAACCGCGGCAACAAACCAACGACGAAGCCCTTTCTTGGCTAGCCAGTCTCCGCAACAAGGTAGGTAGGTAGGTAGGTAGTCACATTCCTGCAGGCCACGAAATCAAAAAGATTTCCAACTTACGTGCATGGAATAGACAGATTATCTGTGCTATTCGCCCTCGTCGGTGGTATCCGGCTTTTGCGCGATTATCAAACCGTCCGAAGTCGTCGGACCACACAGTTCATCATCTCGTCACATCCTTTTCACATTGAATACTATGAGTATCGCCCGGCGTTTCCAGTGAAACCCTTGCGCATTTCACTAAATACGAGAACGAGCTCATTCAGCTGTCTTGCTAAGTCTAGTCCGTCGGCTCTGAAGTATTCGGAATCAAATCTGTAGCCAATGCACCAGACACTGGCCAGTGTTGCGCAGAGCTTCAGATGTGCTCAGCACCTCATAGGTCTAGGTTGACCGTGTAATTGACCCGCAAGAGTTTTGTCAACGAGAGTCTTGACGTCCGTAACTTGAACGAAACGGTAGTCGAGGTCCTGGGTTGGAATGCCACACCGGTAAGTTTGATGGCTATTAGGTAGCAGAGTCGAGACTCGCCTGCAGCAGAGCCGCATTCACAGTCTGGAGCTGTTTTAAATTCACATTCCCAGTCACACTTCACCAGGTGTATGTACGGACGTATAGCAAGACGAGTCAACCACGAAGTTGCTAAGCGCAGGCGCCATAGGTAGTAGTCTACCTAGTTCCCCCACCGTATGTTATTAGTTTCCCTTGGGCAATAGTGTAGGTGTACTTCGTAGGTACACAACCAGCGCGATCTCATAACGGCGGACTTAGTGTATATAAAAAACCTCGGTCCGTTTATAACCCCACTGACCTTGGATTTGTCAAACCCCGTCGTATCTGAGGAAATTCCTAGTCGGCCCTTTCCTCGCTTCCTCGCAGCGCTCGTTACACGGAGGTATGGTCCGTAGAGCGAACGAAATGCCGTCGGCCGGATTATTTTAGGGAGAGTCAGCACTACTGCGGTTACATATTACACAGCATCATCTCTCTCGTAAACACCTTAATTAAGTGAGACGGGTATTGCCGTCATGAATCACCACCTGCGATAACCGAACGAGTACGCATGTAGTATGTAATAGTATGATTCTATTACTGTATCTATCTATCATTCGGCCTGCAATATATTCCCTATTGCGTTGTCATCTGCCATCAACAAGGATTAGCCCCTATGGCGTAGTGGTAGCGCGTGTCACTTGTACCAGTTGCAAGAATATGACAAGGTCTCTCGTTCGATCCGGGATGGGGGCAGATCGTCACTTTTTGGAAGTTTTGCTGTCCCTCGTGGGGGTTGTTTCGGTACAGTAGTACGTCCGTAGGTAGTAGATAGATAGATAGATAGATAGGTGTTAACTATTATGTTTTGCACGAGCAATCACAGGGGTGTGTTTCTTTCGTGCAGTAAGTACTCAGACTCCGACTACCACTTGATGATAAGTTAATTTTGACGATGCATCATCAATGACCGTACCTACTACTACCTACTGCTACTGTACGGGATCCGTTGGGTTTGTTGACGATATAGGTAAGTACTTACCTAGGTAGTGTCGTGACCCACTTTTCAGGATTTCACCTGAGTTCCCGCCAGACAGAACCTCACTCAGCCTTTTTCTACCACGTTTTGTCGACTCTTACAACCAGTACTGCTGCAACTTAAACAGCGATGTCTTTTGACTCTCGTCACGACTTTTTTGCTTCGTACCTCTCTCTAAGAGACGTGTTGACTATAGCTAGCACCATCTCAACAGTGGTAAGCAGCCGGATCTGACGTTCAAAAGGCCAAACAAGCGACACGAGTTCTCACCACGCATCAAAAAGCACCATGCACAATTATTTAGGCCATCGCTTCACATTGAGGTATTTAGAGTACACCACAGGTTCCGCCGATGAAACCAGAAAGGAGTGAAAGAGCAAGTCGTGGCCACGTTACTTGCGAAAAATGGGTATTGAACTTCCCAGTCATGAAAAGACATGTCATGTTGGCACTCCATTCCATACAAAGACGCAGAATAGAAAGTACACTGCAGCAGAACTCAATTTATGTCATCCTTTTGAACCCCTACATATTCAGGAGCATCTAGCCCCCTTTTTGATTCACCCGAAAAAATAGCCCACCAAGCTTCTGAGAAGGCACAAAGGCCACCAATGCACCACGCCTGAAAAAGGGCCCGAAAAGTCTTACGCCTCCTGGTGGACAGCGGCTTTTTCAGTCTCGCCCTCGGCATATTCCGCACCCGTTGACGTAGATGTGGCTCCAGGAAGAGGTTTCGTGATCTTAACATTACCTAGTTCGATATCCCGCGCTAGTTCGTCCAGTCTGCTCGTCTTTTTGTGTGTCTTCCAGGCGGGTCGTCCGGAATCGAACACTTCGTCCATTTCCTCGAGCGTATATCCCTTGGTCTCGGGCGCCATCAGCGTCATATGGATGAAGGCTGCGCCGTTGAAGGCGGCGAAGATCATGTACATCTTCCAGTTGATGGACCATAGCAAAGGCGGAACTGCGAAGGCCAGGATCATGTTCCAGAACCAGTTCGAGGCGGTGGATAGCGACACGGCCTTGGCACGGACCTTGCTTGGGAAGATTTCGGCCGGATAAGTCCAAGACGTGGGACCCCAAGTCGTTGCAAAGGTGGCGACGAACAAGTACGAGGCGGCGACAATGCCTTTCGATACCGCGGGTTTATCCTTCACGATCCAAGTAATGTCCTTAGAGCCTGTACCGTCGTTCGCCTGGCCATATGCGGCCTGAAGCCCACCTGTATAGATCTCGTGAGCGTCTGTGCAAAACGAGCTGGATGCATGTGCAAGGATATAGGAGCTTACCAGAAGTGAACAAGAAGATCATCATAAAGAACGAACCCACAATTAGAGCAGGTCGGCGGCCAAACTTGTCGAGATACAGGATAGCCGGCAGTGTTAGAGCAACGTTGATCACGTACTGAATCGAGGCGGTGGTAAGTGGCGATGCAATCTGCGCACCCTCCATGATATAGACAATGTAGTACATCATGATGTTCATTCCACAAAGCTGAATCACGAAGCGTCAGTACCTACGTCCTTTGCAAGTGACAACACAAGTTCTTCAAACACACTTACCTGCGACCACATCTGAATACTCATGCCCAAGATGACACGTCGGAAGATGCGAGGCTGTATCAAAGCCTTGAAGCTCGAGACGGCCTCTTCCCGCTCGAATCGCAGAGCCTCTTCAATTTCCTTATACTCGGCAAGGACCTTGGGATGATTGACGTCTCCATCACCGTGCAACAAAGCCAGAACCCTAATAGCCTCATCCCAGCGATCCTTGGACGCCAACCAACGAGGGCTGTACGGGAAGAAAAACAAGCCGATGAACAGGATGATGGCGGGTATCATCTGAATACCCCAAGGGATGCGGAAAGCCGAAGCTGGCTGATTCGGGTCATCAGGACCGCCACCCACCTGTGCAGAGCCATATTGAATGAAATACTGGATCAGGATGCCCCAGGTGATGGCCCATTGCTGCAAAGAGACGACTCGGCCGCGAATCTCCTTGGGAGCGATTTCGGATTGGTAGACAGGCACGACGGAGGATGCAATGCCGACGCAAAGACCAGCGATGACACGGCCAGCACAGAGCATCCCAACATTGATAGACGCACATTGGATACTATGATGCTTGGTTAGCAAGCAAGCAAGCAGCTACGAGAGCTTCCCCGCCTCAGCTCAAACATGGAACAAAGAAACTTACATGGAACCGATAATCCAGAGGATACAAGAGACCTGAAGCGCAACCTTACGAGAGTACCGATCAGCGATGAAGGAGCTCGCAAGCGAGCCTGTAATATTAATTTAATTGTCAGCTCAATCGAAATGCATGAAACATGAAATCCCAGCAAACAAAAAAAAGAAGACCCCGCTCTTGTCCAACTCGACGCCTCAACTCACCAACAAGGGACCCGGCAGGCATAGAAGCCGTGATGCCACCCTGGCGGTACGAGACCGGGTTGTTGAAATAATTCTTGTAGGCCTCGGTGCCGAGAACACCACTCATGGAACTGATATCGAAGCCGAAGAGGCCACCGCCTAAACAAGTATCGGTTAGCAGGAAGTTTGTTCGTAGGTTTACCTCTTGGAACAGCTTTTTCTTCTCAATTGGGGATACAACCCAATCCAACCCAATCCAATCCAATCCAATCCAATTAAATTCAGTTCGGTTGCAGACAATGTACTCACCGATGGCGGCGAAGCCGCAGATAAAGTAGACGTTCTTAGCCTGATACATGGCGGCAGGCAAGAGAACGAAGACAGAGTGTTAGATCTCCAGCTGAAAAGGGATCTTGGTTAGTGAATGTTCACGATAGAAACGTGGATATCGTGATCAGGAAATCACGATGAGGAAATCGCGATGCAGCAGGTTTTTTTTTAAAACAAAACAAACGGAAGGAGAGACTCGAGGAGAGGAAGGTGGGGTGATAGGTTAAAAAAGCAGGTAAGAGGATAGATAGATAGATAAGTAAGTGGTAAGAAAAGTTATCAAAGACTGAAAGGGATGAAAGAAACCTCAGGTAGGCTGCCGTTGGTCACATCTATCCAATCCGTGAATCCAATCCCCACATCCCTCCATCCCATCTATTCATTCATTCATTCATACCTTGTAACATACATTCATGTATCGATGCTTACTTATGATGCGCCGGTGATGGACAAGAATGCAGGTCTGTGGCTGATGTACCAGCCTGGGTGTGACAGGAGCAAACACTGTGTCACGGAGAAGGGGAGAGACCGGAAAGTGAATGCAGCACGAAGATGGCACAGGGAATGAACGATATTGGGCGAGCACTCAATATGAGGTGTTGTACAACAGACGGACAGGTACGGCGGAGATTGTAAGTGTGTGTGTGCGGGCTGGACAGAGCGGGCAGAGCGGAGATGCCATGTGGGTGATGTGAAGCTGTACAGGGTAGTGCAGTTTCGGGATGAAGAGGAGGCGGAGGAGGAGGAGGAGGGGGGGGAGATGAGAAGGAGGGGAAGAAGAAGAAGAAGAAGGAGACCACTAAAACTGTGGCGAGTGAACGAATGAATGTGTTGTTATGAAAGGAATGGGGACACGAGGGAAGGGGGAGGGGTGGTGCTAGACAAGATCCTAGATCGATGCTGAGATAGATTGATAGGAACAGAATATGTAGAATGATAGAATATAAAGCAGTACGAACTCTGAAATGGTAGATACCTTGACTTGGTTGGTACTGACTAAACTGTTCACTTCTTCTCGAGAGCACACAGTTATTCAAGTCATACCATTTCTTTCTTCATCCATTGACCGACTGACCGACTGACTGACTGACTGACTGACTGATCTCACCATAGAGAGGAATTTGTACGGAGAAGGGGAGGAGAATCCTCGTGATATATATCTACAAGACAAACAGCCCGACGAATGCCGATGCAACGGCATCAAACCGAAACGCACACATACAAAACATACATGACCTGGCCTCGCCCACGCAGCCATGGTGCCGGGACATGTTTGCCAAGCCCGCTATGTACCAGATAACGAATGTGATAGTAATATGTATGTATGCGATTTCCTACCGTGAAGGGGTACGATGTTTTGTTTTGCGGGGTTTGGAATGGGATTCCCTGGCACAATCTCTCCTTTGTCTATCTACGAGACCACATGCGTCGCTGAACATTGGTGTGCGATGCGAGTGCATCGCATGTGCAAGTCATGTAATCCGTAAGTAGGTGAATAAGTAAGTAAGTGAATCGAGTAAACGAGTCCCTCCAGTCCAGTGTGGTGAAGGATGGAATTCCTTGCTTCTCGACACCGTCATGAACATGACACCGCTACGCACTCGTCATATACATCGTCGCCAGCCATTCGCCAGAATAGACAACAATGTGTAACTTGCACCCCTCCCAATTGCCCACCATGAATCAACAGATCCTAGCATCTCTTTTGTCTTTCTCTGCCCTATGAACCAGAAGCGAAGCTGTGTCGGCCCACGCCTGTAAATACCCCTGATAATGCATCCACACCGCAATCTCGTACAAGCACCTATAGCGAGAACTGTCCTCACATTCTAGATAGTCAAGCAAGTCTGTACTGTACGCCCCCTTCAATCTTCACCACTAAACAAAATCCCCGACACGTGAGATGAAAAGCCGTGTGGCGGCCGCAATCCCGTCGATTGGTCACAAGCACCGAGATAGCACCGGGTACAACGCACTAAGCTCCAGCTCCGTACGCCATGTTCAAGAGAGAGAGA